AGCTCAAAGTAGGTACACAGCATCATATGGCTAGCCAGGGATCAAGCTAGATATCATCAGCATACAGAACTGGTGATACCTGTCCCTGTGCCCTCAGGTGACTTCCCCCAGCAGCCTCACGCAGATGTCAAAGAAGAAAGGGGAGTCCCACAGAGCTTGGGCTTGATCTCTTCTCCCCCAAAAGGGAAAGTTAGAGGTTGGACAAAAATTGTCCTACATCATTGGGTCCAGTAATGGTTTCTTGAAAATGGAGCACACCGCCATCTTTTTCAAGGCAGAAGGAACCCCCTCGCTACTGAATACTGTACATCAGTGTCCATCTGTGCCATAACAAAGTCCTTCTGGGAGAATGAACGCCATTTCATTCATTCAGTCAGAAACTTGTAGTGGATTTCTTAGAAGGAATGACAAGGAATGAGCTAATGCTAGCTCTTTACAGCTTTTACTGTAAAATTGTCAAAATTATCTGTCTACTTAACTTTGTGAAGGGTGCTCCCTAGTGTATTCATGGATAGGGTCTACAGGGTAAAAACCTAGATGAAACATAGCAACATTTTTCAATAGCAGATGCTGACTCCACTGCCTGTTTCTTAATTTGTGCCACTGTCCTTCTGTAGCAATGGCACAGTAAATTGCTGCTAGCGATCTAGTACCTTGCATTGTTGCAGGGAGAAAGTTGCAAGTTTGATATAAATAGAATATATTATGTTCAAGTTACCTTAAAAGAAGGGAGCACTTCTTTTTTCTTATTTCCAGATTACTGCTACTAAGATCTATGTATAAAACATGCAAAGTTTTAATAAAACATTAAAATTGCACTTAGGGAGATGAAATTAGTAAGCTGGCTTTTCCCATTAAAACTGTACATGTTTTCAGCTGTTAAACATTATGCATTATATATGCCTTCTTAAAAATGGAAGGGGTAGTCATTATGGGAGGGTGCACACATGCACACATGCATATCCTTTCTTTAATAATAATTTTATTAAAAATTACAATTGCAAAGATATAAACTAATACAAACTAAAAAAAGAATAAAAAGAAAAAATAGGTGCAGAAAAGAAAAACTAGAAAGAAAACTGGAAAAAAAATGTAGTAAAGAAAAAGAGAAGAAATGTATAAAGAAATTACTTCCCCCTTCATCACAAGTATAAACAATTTTAGTAACTTATCACCTTCTCTTAA